TTCGCCGCTGGCTCCCAGTGGATCGTTCTGGCCAGAGCGGGCAGTGCGATGACCTGGGGTCGGTTTCTGAAGATCGTCAGAGATTTAAGAGTTCGTTCTGAGAATCGTATTTTTTTGTGACCTGTGAAAGGTCATGTCGCGCCCCCCCGTGAAATTCTCAGGTCTGTAGCTGCTGTGGCATCATCAAGATACGTAGAAAAAAACGCCTTGAGTAGGTATGCGACCTTAAATTCTGTTTGCGCTTCTTGCAATAATTCAGCTGATTTGACAATTCGTTTTGGAATTAAAGGTTTTCCTATTCCAAAATGGAACTTTAAGGAGGTGAATATTGTCTCAAAATAAATTCAAACAAAATTTGCAAAGCGTGTGGGAATGAAGTTTCTCTGCGACTGGAGATGTTCCTGCCTCGCTCGCTTGGAATTGTTCAGGTCTCTCGCTGCTGTGCTACGCACAAATATTTGCGCAACTGATGTTCCGTCATAACGGAAAACCAATGATCCTGTCGACTTTTCATGCTGATATTCCAAGAACTATCTGCATTGACAGCACTGTTATGTGTTTGCGGGGCTCTACAAGGTCCCCAGCGGTAACTGGTTGACGGTTTACCGCCGGCTCCCGGTTTGAAGATTGTGAGAGATTTGGTATTTTTTTGGAGAAAACGTATTTTCTCCGATGGGAACAGCACGTTATGCCGGATCTGCCAATAAAGACGTCATATTCGTAACTGCAGTATTGCTATCAAAAGACGACATCATCTGAATCTTATATAAATTTGATTTATTATATCTTATGACGAACGCACACCACGGCGACAAGGTATTTGGGCTCGTGAAAGAGCGCCCCGCGCGGGCCCGCAGACGTGTGGGGGCGCGCTCGAGGACGCACTCGAAGAGCTTCCGAATTGTGCGAGGCAAGTTATGCTGGAGTGTGTCTGGAGCACGGAGGGGCTGCTGAGCTCAGAAAGCTCGACGAGCATGTGTGCGTGACGTTGGTCTAATTGACAAAGCTCTGGTCGGGATTTGACTATTCGGTAGGGCTTTAAGATCTGACCTGGTCAACTAAGATGCAAAACTTGTCCGCCATTTGGATTTCAGTTTAACCGTGTGATGTTGAAGGGTGAAAACTAACGGCGTCGGTTTCCGATATGTGTTCGAGCTTTCGAGCAGCTTCGTAACTCATAGGTGCGCCAGTGGATCGGGAGTCGTTGAAAGCAGAGTTTCTGTCCTCGACACCGCTCAGATCGCTTCACTAGTCGAGCGATGATCTAAGACTTCGTTTTGCATTGTAAGTTTTCTGATGTGGGTCATGCTGTTTTCCAACTTGATTTGGATGTATATAGAAACGCATCTATATACATAGCCGTGCCAGCTTTTTGGCATACGCTGGATTGAGAGGACTGAAAAGCACCAGCATGCAACCCCGCGGTTGTTGGTATCGGTTTGCTCGTCGGGCTCTACTTGAAACGCTCGCTTGGCACTGCGCCTTTCTGCTGCGGGGCGAATTGTTTTTCGATCGGGGATGCAGGCCACTTGCGGAGCTCTTTGCACACCGTTACATCGGGCATCGTCGAAACTTTGCGCCTACAACCCCTGAGAGCTCCCATATCGGTTCGCAAGGTGGGCGATGCTCGAACTCTCGTTACGCGCTGCAAATAGTTTGCCGCGGTTTGAATGGATTTTCGATATGTACTCTAGTTTTTGAGAAGTGACGTAGCTCTAGGACATAGCACGGCTATCGTCGAACACATCGGTCTGGAACCTCGGGCGCGTTGAGATTGGCTCGATAGTCGAGCTATGCTCGGACAATTAATTCCGCATCGCAGGTTTTGCGAGTTAATTTGTTTTTTGGCTTGATCCAGATGCTTGGGACAGCTGCGTAGCCTTGTGCAGTGCAGCTGCGTCATCTGCTTCTGGGAACGCGTCCTTTATCGCGCGGCTCCAAAATCGATTCACCGAAATGGAGATCGGAGAGTTTCTGGCGGACCTGGGCACGCATGTCGCAAGACTGCAAAATTTGAACGTTCGTTCTTATAATGCAAATGTGTGCGTCGAGCATTTGGTCATTGCTGTTTTTTTCGTGACACTTATAGTCGTAATGTAATCTTTGCCCGAACGGATGTCGAGGAACCGACTTCACGTTAATCAGTACCACTGTTTGGTGGTGAACAGGTTTCGGAGTTGGTGTTTTGAAGAGTTCCCTGTGTTGTTGTTGGTGATGATGATGTTGTTGTTGATGATGATTGCGCTGATGATGATCCTGTTTATGTTGATAACGGTACTGACGGTCATGATGGTGATGCTTGTGATGGTGATGAGGATTATGTTGATGATGCTGTTGATGAGGGTGGTCATGATGGTGAAGATGATGGTACAGATGATGGAGGAAGTGACGATGATGATGCCGCTGATGATGATGGTGATCACGATGGTTATGATGATGCTGATGATGACTATGATGATGCTGATGAGCTACTCTTGGTGATGATACTGATGATGCTGATGGTGATGATGTTGTTTTTGACGATGTTGGTGTTGATGTTGATAATGATGATGCTCATGATGATGATGCTGATGCTGATGCTGCTGATAATGATGATGATCTGGTTATGATATGAGGATGATGATGATGATGATGATGATGATGATGATGATGATGATGGTGGTGGTGGTGATGCTGCTGCTGTTGATGATGATGCTGATGCTGATGCTGATGATGATATTGCTGATGCTGATGCTGATGCTGATGCTGATGCTGATGCTGCCGTTGCTGATGATGATCATGATGATGATGATGCCGATGAGCATGATGCTGATGATGAGGATATGATGATGATGATGTCGATGGCGATGCCAGTGAGGACAAGGACGGGCCACAGGACCATGACGAAGTGCTGCAGGTGAGCGGAACCAATGTCAGGAACGATTTTCTATCCGCGCCAGTTCAGCGCCTTGTCTGAACTCGTTCAGGTTGTGACCTCCACCTGACACCCTTTTGTGGATGTTTAGGGACAGCGCGTGCGCTGCAGATGATTTTCATGTTGGTGCACGTTCTTGCGAAGCTCCTAGACTTCACGCGCTTCCCGCTTATGCCTAGAGAGGTTCCTAACACATGGTCGTTTCGCTTGAGACATCCTGGAACAAACGTCTTCGGAGGGGACCCCGAACCAGCGTCATCTGCCAATCGTTCCCGGGGGGCTTCAGAACAACCCAAAAGAGCCCCCAAAGGCTCTCCTCAGGACCCCCAAAGCGCCCCAAGGGACCTCCACGAAGCCGTCAAGAGACGAAGCAAGCCCCAAGATGCTCGCAAGAGAGCTCCAGGAAGCCCCCAGAGGGCCCAAGATAGCCCCAAGGCAACCCAAGATGGAGCCAACACTGCCTAAGAGAGCCCCCACATAACCTTAAGGTATTCACAGACAACCCAAGAACACCCCAGAACCCCGTAAGAGGATCCTGAAATGCCCCACGAAGCCCACAATGTGTTGAAAGCTAACTCCAGACGGCCTAAACAGCCCTCAGGGTAGCTTCAAAAGATCACGAGGACCCCCCGTTCTTCGACATCCTTGTCCTCGTGCTCCTCACTGTTTTTGTTTGTCGTCCTCCTCCTCCAATTCATTCCTCCTAGTGCTCGTCCTCCTCCATCTCTTCCTCCCTGTCCTTATGCTTGTCTTCCTCCTCGTTGTCATCCTGCTCCCCTTGCTGCCCTCCACGTCATCCACGCTGCCATTTTCTCATCCGCAGCACTGTCGTCGCCATCATCCTTATCTTCTCCCCCCCAGCACGAACCCAACGGACAACATCGGCGCTTCCCGTTCTTGTCCGAGCAGATTTTGGCATTCACGGCGTGTTTGATGTACTCTCCCACATAACGTGTCAACAATTCGTGCATTTCCTTGGTCTCCTGGTCTCAGGCGTGCTTGTGGCGCACGCTATGCGATTCGTTGTATGGCAGTGGCTTTCCTCATACGTGATGCCTCGTGCATGCATTCATCATTCGTATTTTTCGTCGCATCTATATGTAGAAGCGTACACATACCCATATAGGTATATAAGAATTATTTTCACGAGCGGGTAGCCTCGTTTTCTTGCGCGTGTGGCATGTTCAGTCTGGCGCAGGGCATGACACAAGGCCCGTGATCTTGGCCGACTCAGTGTGTGACCGCCGTTGTTCCCAACATTTCGAAGTCAAGGCCGGCGGCCAGATTTTTTCAGGTCGCGAATCTCCTGATGGGCGCTTGCATCAGCAAGGCGCTTCTATTTGATCTTTCTTTTTGAGGTGTCCTGTGTACTCTAACCTCCATCGATTCTGCATCTCCTGTGCAGATTTCCTGTGAATAATCAGCTCTATCTCTCTGTTCAAGTCCATCGCTCTTCTCAAGCTCTTTATTCGTGCGTGGTGCCTCCTAGGCTGGTGGCCCGCCGCCGGAGCGACGGTGTGATTAGGCGGTGTGGATTCTCGGTGGACCTTGTGTCGAACGGTGCGTTCAGTCATGGTAGCCCCTGCGCGCTGTGCCTGGGTTCTTGCGGCCCGTCGCTATCTTCCTGGTCTCCCCATTGCCCGCCCACAATTGAAGAGGTGCGATCGACGCTGAGGCGTTGCATGACCTTGAAGCTGCAGCCTCTTCCAGTGACGACAAAGTTTGAGCGCTGCGGCGCTGACCGCCCAGCCTTGGGATCGAGCCTTGCTCGATGTGGTGTCCGTCCGTCGCGGTAGGTGCTCTTCTCAGGTTTCACTTTTCTCTCTACTTGCCCGACTCGGTGCTGGCTCTCTTGTCAGACTCTGACAGCTGGGGAGCGTGTGCTCGTGACGCCCTCCTTTCCGTGCTCGATCTGCGCACGCATACTTGACCGAGTGCAGTTGAAGGCACATGGTGAATCAGAAATGTGGAGGGCGGCCAGCCCTTAAACGAGCGCACTGCTCGCCTCCGGCTCCTCCTCCTCGTGTCCCCCTCCCCAACCCTCCCCTCCTGTTTCTGGTGCTGCTGCCCCCCCCCCCGGCGCCAGGGCGCCGCAGCCTGCCAGGAGGATGCAGTGGAGCGGGAGCGTCGGCGACTGTCCGCCTCGAAGTCCGAGAAGGCCGTCGCCCGGGAAGAGACGGAGGATACGCTCCTCTCCTCTCCTCGTGCAGCAGGTTCGCGCCGCGTCGACTCGGCGACGACCCCGGCGCGGGCGTTCAAGGCTGAACACTGGCAGTGGCACAGAATGAGCCGACATCGGACGATCTGCGCTATCGGAAAGCTGCGATTGCTCAAGGTTGAACGGTCCATGTGGTGTCAGAAAACTCGAGTAGGGAATCGACTACAGAATTGATTTATCCCAACATTGATTTCCCCATCGAATCTACAACGAATACGTATAATTCTCGTACGTCCACCGAGTTTTCTATGTGTTTCCGTAGATTCAACGAGCAAATTAATTTCGAGAGAAATCAATTCTGTAGTCGATCTCCTACTCGAGAAACCAATGCAAGGCTCGTCACCTCACGAGCCTGCTGTACTACGTTTCTGACTGCGCTGAGGCCCGGACTGAGTCTACAATCGTAGGGGAGGAGTCGTAAGGGAGGAGGAGGAGGAGGAGGAGGAGGAGGAGGAGGAGCAGGAGGAGGAGGAGGAGGGGGAGGAGGACGAGCTAGATGCGTTCGCGTCATCTGACATCCTACCCCTCCCTCGCATCCCTTACCATGGCGTAGATATCCTTTCTATTTGCACGGTCGGATGTCGAGCAGGGCAATGATCACGAGAGGGTACGCGATGCATGGTAAATTCAGGCATGGCACGGCGTAGAAGAGCACGGCAGAGCGTAGCACGCCATAGCATAGCGTGGCATTTGCGCAGTTAAACATTGCATCGAAAAGCATTGCAAGGCAAAGCATGATATCGCACAGCGGCGCAGAACGCAACACCGCACATACTGTCATGGCATGGCTCTGGGCTCGCTGGAGGGTAAATGGATCGTCTTCGAGAGGTCTGGACCGGTCTGGAGTCGTGGCTCAATGTCTAGCTCCTTGGGCTCCCCGAAAAGCTCTACACAAGGCGGGGCTGATGGAGAGCACCCGCCGGCTCTGCTCCCAACATCGCCTTCTCAAAGCTGAAACGGGGCTCCCGCTTGATACTTCCTGAAAACGACGACGCCCCAGAGTGGGGGGGCTTCTGCGGCCCAAGAAATCAACGAATCGACACCGAATGCGTAATCACTTCCGATGGTCTTTTCGGGGGGGCATTCTGGAAAGGAAGGATCGAAAGCGCCCGCAGTGCAGCGGGAGCACGATTTGGAATAAACAGTGGCGCAGAAATGGGACAGCGCTTCAGCGAACCCAAGCGAAAACCCATTTCCCGGGAGTCCTGTGTATACAAAACTCTACGCGGAGGGGGGCCGGATATCTTCTGGACGATATCAGGGGAGAGGGGAGAGTAGTATTCATTTTGTGTAATTGTGGAGGGGGAGGGCGAGGGGGAGGGGGAGGAGGAGGAAGGGGAGGAGGAGAACGACGAGGAGGAGGAGGAGGAGGAAAAGGTAAAGGAGGAGGAGGAGGAGACCACGTTTTCGAGTCTCGCAGTCGCTTCTGGCACACGCGTGCAGGGCAGCGTGCCCACGGCCGCGCCCCTGCGTGGACGCGTTTTTCTGGACCGCGCCCCTCGCCGGATTGGCCTCTGGTAGGCTGCCTTCGGGAGGAGCGGGGGCCGAACCCAGGCGCGCAGGCTGCTGGTGTCGCATCGCGTACAGCGATCGGCAAGCCGCGCACCAAGGTCAACGGAGGAAACTCCACGCCTATCCCGACAATCGGCGCTTACTGAGCGGCCATTGGCGTTTACTAAAATGCCCTGCCCTGTTCGATTCCTTCCTTGGGCGCGATTACTAAACGGCCTCGCTCGTCGGGGTGCTTGGTATGGGGCTGGATTTCTGCTCTCCACACAGGGTTCCCCTTGTACAGGGCCACTCGTGTGTGTAGGGCCACCTCTTCCTTCCTCTCCTTCGTCCCCGTCCTCGCCCTCTTGGGTTACTTGGGCCATTCCCTCGTGTGAAAACATACGAAAATAATTATGTCACTTTTCACTCGGGCGCTTTTTCGGCAAGGTTATGCTCCCGAGAACTTCTCGCCTTCACAATAAACAATGTCGACTCCCGTTCCTCGAGGACCTTCGCGCGAGTGCGTCCATGGGTTCTGCAACCACACGCGAGGTGGGCCAGGCCGCGTCGGCTTCCGCCCGAGCGCGACGACTCTACCTGGAGTTCTCCTGGGTCTCGACCCCCATCCCCGAGCGAGTCTTTCCGTTGAATGTGGAGAAGCGTGCGTATGATCCGCATGTTGTGTAGCATGAGGCCTCGTTCGTTACCCATGGTGCGCGTGGCTGCTTGGCAGTACCTTGCCAAGGCGTCTGTGGGAGCCGTGCTCGTTGCTCCGTCCTCGAGCCACTCGCTGCGCGCAGGTCCCAGCCAGAGGTTGTCCAGCGACTTTCTAGTGGGTCTACCGCCCCCCAAGACCTGTAGCGGCTGCTGCTAGGCCTGACCAATTTGCCGACCCGCTGTCCAATTTCACCACTCCTTCCACTGGCAGCTTGGACTCCAGCGGCTCCCCCTTTCCTTCCTTTCTTCTTCCGCCTCATTGTCCTCTTTTTCGTCATTGGCGTCGTCGTCCTCCCCGTCGTTCTCCCCCCACCTCCCCCTTTTTCTCCTCCCTCCTCCCTCCCATTCCCGTCTCGTTCCCCTTTCCTACAATTGTTCAACGTCTCCTCCCGCTCGCTCCCAGCCGCCGACCGCCGTAGTTGTTTACACAGGATATCAAGGTGCGGGCACCGCGGGCCCGCCACTGAACGCGCAGGCAGGGAGAGGGTTCGTCGGCGCCGTCCGTCCTCTTTTTTTTGGGGGGGGGAACAAATCAACCCAGTGATATCTCCCTTAGCGGATTATTGACGGCATGTCAGAGATACCAGTTTTGAGCGATGGCGTCGATCCAGTACCACCATCATCATACCCCACTTTTGCCGGGAGCCGCGTTCCTTTGGCAAGTGACTTGTCATCCGCCGAACATTCAATTGTTGTAGCTTGCGTGCAAATTAATACCGATACTGATCCCGATGCAGTAGCAAGTATTGAGAGCATGACGGGTAACAAGTAATTCTGCGAGTGACGGATTAAGCCTTAATTTCCCGGGTGTGTTCATCGTATGTTTGAATGGCGATACGTTCGCCCCGACATAAACAAGTACATCGACATTGGTTCAACTAGTGGATGGCGACGATCAGTTCGGTCGTGAACTCTGCCATCGTGTGAGACGCGGGCATGCACCTTGGGATCTCTTCAACCAGAGAGAATATCGATAGGCGTGTCCCGGGCAGAACACGCGGGAGATAATGCACGGGAGACACCAGCGGCGAAACGCGCCAAAGTGCTTGACAATAATAATATGACACATGTTTCGCCGATGCAGGTTTCTAGCTTACCCAGAAGTCGGTTCGGCGATCAGCCTCGTGCCGTCATGCAAGAGCCCGAAGGGGCAGTCCCCGTCGATATCTTTTCCCCGCGTGAAAACATCATTTTTCCCTTCCCTTCAATGGGAGTCCCCTCCCAGTGACGAGATGGTGTGTGATGCTGTACAATTCTGGACCTGCGAGCCGTGGCCCCTGTCCCAGGCCGGAGTAGAAGTGAATGAAAACGGCGTGGCGTTGCCGCTCCTGGCCGCCTTCGCGGTGCCATGCGAGTCGGAAACACGACGGGCCAGGACGCCCTGTAACGAGGAGGAGGAGGAGGAGGAGGGAGGAGGAGGAGGAGGAGGAGGAGGAGGAGGAGGAGGAGGAGGAGAGAGGAGGAGGAGGAGGAGGAGGAGGAGGAGGAGGAGGAGGAGGAGGAGGAGGAGGAGGAGGAGGAGGAGGAGGAGGAGGAGGGGAGGAGGAGGAGGTGGGGAAGCAATCCAGAACACCTGGCGCGGCGCAGGCCAACCTGCCGTAGGCGAGCCGGTGCGTGCAGCCATGGAATCGAGACACTTGCAAAACGGCATAGTTATACAGCTATGTGGTCACAAGCTCCGTGATTGAACACGGAAACTTGACATTCCCCGAGCACTATAGAAATGAGGGGAAGAGGAGGAGGAGGAGGAGGAGGGAGGAGGAGGAGGAGAGGAGGAGGAGGAGGAGGAGGAGGAGGAAGAGGAGGAGGAGGAGGAGGAGGAGGAGGAGGAGAGGAGGAGGAAAGGAGGAAAAGGAGGAGGAGGAGGAGGAGGAGGAAAAGGAGGAGGAGGAGGAGGAGGAGGAGGAGGAGGAGGAGGAGGAGGAGGGAGGAGGAGGAGGAGGAGAAAAGACTGCACCGGCCGCTTCGCGCCAGCACGCGGCCTCCGGGCCTACGGTAGGAGGGAGGACAGGGAAGAGGAGGAAGGAGGAGGGGGAGGGAGGAGGGATGAGGGGAAGCAAGCAGGCAGGCAAGCAGGGAACACCGGGGGGAGCACGGCCGCGGGGTGTGAGCCACCAGACCCCGCTGGTTAGGCGCGCGTGCTCGGGTGGGGGCGGACGGGGGTGGTGGGAAGGGGGGGCCCGCGCCCGCGGGGGTGGGCTGGCCGGCGGCCGGCGCCTTAGTCGTCACCCCCGCCAGGCCAGCAGGCCCTGACGTGGGCGGCCGCCCGCCGGCACAGCGCCACGCCAGCCGCGCTGGCCAGGCGGCGGTACCGCCACGCCCCGTCCGAGCATCCCCTCCGCCGGGCAAGGCGGGTCGCGAGTGTGCGGAGGATGGATGTCGTCCGGGGGTGGGGCCGCCCGTAGGCTGACCAGACTAAGGGTTGGTACAGGATGTTCTGGCGGTCCAAAACATCGCTGTAAGGGGCGTAGTACGCCGTCTTGCGTTCGTACGTGCTGGAGACGCAGTCGGGGCCGGCGTTGCACGCGTCGGGAGAGGCGATCCCGATGTCGAGCGCCGTGAGCCCGTGCCCCAGCGCCCCCGTGAGTACGTCCGCGGGCCGCAGGCGGGTGCCTGGGATGAGGTTCTGCGCCTGGAGCTCGGTGGCGGGGTCGCAACTCCTGGCGGCCTCGTACACCTGCCGTGCCAGCGCGTGGTGGCCCCTCGTAGCCTCGGCTCTGCTGCAGCAGAGGGCGTGCGAGCCCGCGGAGTAGAGC